CGAGAGTGGGCTCGACATCTGTTGAGTTCATTTTTTGGGATCAACATAAGAGATACAGTAATTGATGTGGTCCAAACTGTCACCCCTTCCAATGATATGGAAGCATCTTCAACATAACAATCTTTGGCATATTATTTTGAACTCGATGTACAACGATTTCTCAATGTAAAGATGCATTGTAAGATTTGCCATGAATATTTCAAAAACAGTAACAAGGACCTACACTGATTAATCAAGAACATATCCAAGAAATAAGCCAAGAGCTGACATAAAACTGAGAATTATGAGACAAAAATTAAAATTATTAAATCCATTTCTAATGATCATCTTTGACTAATCATTTATACATTAGACGTGCTTCCTGAAGCCTATTTGAAGCTCTATCGATTGGGGTTTTGACTCTTTACTTGAAGACATTGCAAAAAATCATTTGTTCTATATAAATAATTTCCTTCTACATAAAATATTATTAATTGACAATATTGAAAAATAAATAAGGTGTTTCACATTAAAAAAAATAACTTTTTAACTTACAAAGTAAAGTCAACCAATCATGATCGTCAATAGGCTTTTTTTTTTTTGATAATTGTGGATGTCCGGACCAATTTGCGTGCACCTCGACTAATCACACAGGGTCGTGAAGTTTTACGGTCGAATACTCACCTCAATGGCCATGAGAGGACTCGAATTGGTGATCATTGGGGAGCAAACACAAAGTCTCACGAATTAAGCAACCCCTCGAGATTATGATGTCAATAGTCTCGATATGTTTTTTCAAAATTAACTCGTAGTCGTCAAGAAATTCAGAAACATTGTCGAATTTCACAAAACCATATTTTGCCTTCACAAAGGAACATCTAAAACCATCGAAGCCAAAAAAATTTTACAAAAACAGCACATTTTTACCAAAAAACTTCAATCAAAGATGTCATTTTACTTGAAAGTTCACCGAATTATAAAACATTCTGTAGCCATTAATTTAACCATGTGAACCAAAAATGAAAATTCAAGCTTATATTTAAAGGGATTCTCACATGGTTTTGGATTATAGAAAATCAGCTATACCACTGAAGCAGATTTCTAGGTTCTGAGGCCAAACAGATTCTGAAATATCATAGATGCATCGGGAGGAAGTTTCATGGACCGAGGTGCCACAAAATTGACATCTTTTCATGAACATGATACCTGCATAATCAAATCCAACGTTTTAGACAACAGCAAATATAGAAATTTGTTGGATGTGCCAAGAGTCTATCAACCCGCTCACGGCGTACCGGAGCTTGCGACTCACGCCGGTCAACAATTTTTCGTTTCTTACTTTGCAATCTCTTCATAGCATAAAGGGCTGTCTCTGTCAACAATCAAGATTAGAATCAAACTTTTCAATCCCATCCTTCCATTTACGTATTTCGTCCTTTTTACATGACTTCAACAACATCGTTAAATTTTCCTTGCGTGAGATGCACGAGCAAATATTTTGATAGGTAAAGTTCGCAAGATATATTTGGCACATGCTATAATCTTTTAGATATAAATGTATTCATTTTCAATTTCAATAGCTTTATTGTTTACTTTCAAATGCCTCTAAAATATCGACCACCGACTATCGTAGCCCCCGTCGACCAGTGTTGGGTCCCTCAAATAAGAAATCCTAGCTCCAACATTGATGCAAGTTACATAACATAATAGCTATCTCAAGTTGATGGGAAAGAAATTGTCTCAAGGAACTCCTTGAGTA